TTTTAGCCTTTTTGGTGTGTAGGAACAGCTTGCTTTAGCTTTAGTTTGCATTTTCCTTATTACTAATGAGGTTGAGCAACTTTTCATACGTTTCTTGGGTATTTGACTATCTTTTTGTGTGATTTGTCTGGTTAGTTCTTTTTCTGAAATTTCTACTGTGAAATTTCTACAGTGTTCTCACTACTCATTCAGCAGACTTGCTCTCCCCTCCAGTATACTCACATCTAAATCATAAACACATTTCAATACTCATCCAAAGGTCACATTTTCTGTGATACTTTCCCTAATACACCCAGCCAAAATAGATCTATTTATCTAGCAGACTTTCTAAAATGTTTATATAGGTGTTGGTAATTATCACTTTACACTTAAGTTCATAGTTATTTGTATTTGTTTGGTCTCCTGCAATATAGCCAAGGTGCCAGGGGACATGAACTGTTGGTATTATATATGATTTCTAGCATCGTATTAGGTTGGTGCAAAAGTAATTGCAGCTCTTGCCACCAAAAGTAATGGCAACAACCGCAATTACTTTTGCACTAACTTAACCCTTGGCTAAGTTGACTGTATGTTCCATTTTCTCAGGACAGCCCAAGTTGATGCTACATCCTGCTGGTCCTGATGGACCGTCTAGTTAGCACTTCTTTCTGCTCTCAACATTACCCTGGTTTTTATGTGGTGTTTATGGTCACCCTGTTCATATTAGAATAAAAAAAAAAAAAGACTTGGCAGCAATGATAACTTGCAATTAAATCGATGCCTACTGAGGGGAAAAGAGATACTTCTAAGTGACTTAAAAATCGTGGCGCCATTGGTATAATGAAGTCAGGAGGAGGAGATTTGTGAGGCGGCTACTAAATGTGGTAAGTGTGGCTTGGATATATTGAGTTTGAGATCACTGGTAAGAAATGGGGCAGAACGCAGAGTTATGCACAGAGTGTTAGATAGACGGGGTGACAGAAGCCCTGGGAGTGATATTTTGAGCCAGCTTTCATATTCCTTACGTAGGGATTTAGCAGGGAACAAGACAAAGTCCCTGCTCTTGCAGAGCTTATGAGAATTAGAATAGGCACATTAGATAACTATTTACGAGTGATTTTATCATCTGAGGGATGGAGGTGAGGTGAGAGTTTGGGGACAATAAAAAAAAATTGGGAAATGCTCATGTTTTCAGGGGAGCATGAGGATGAGGGCCCAGAGAATAAAAGAGCTGGCAGAGTTAAATGTTAAGCATTTCAAGGTTTTTAAAAGAAAGATGTGGTCTGATATTAAATGCAGAATATTAAAATAAATTGGAAAATTTGAGATAGTGTTTTATATTTTTGTATGCTTTTCATATTTTTAATATTTGCACAAGCAAACAAAATACAAACAAAATTTGTAATACATATTTTTGAAATAGGTATGCTTCATTATCGCATTGACCACAATTTGTTGAAGCTCTTATTTAACTTTTTTGGGAGACATACCTTAAGAGTCCATTGCCATGCTGCCAGGAATATACCTGCTTTCACCTGAGAAATACCTTAAAAGTCTCATGGAAAGAATAAAAATTTATTTTTTGTCTTGACTGTTGCCCAAGTTTGGTGACAATTACTAGCTGTTCAATTCTGAAATATATTAAGCAAGAAAGCATTGCAGCCACAGCCAGCCAACAGCATTTAGGTGAATGTGCATTTCCTCCTTACCAAAGTATATTATATTAATTTTTAGCAAAATCTCAATTTCTCTTTTTTCAAAGAAATGAGTCATCACTCATTTTAATTTTACAGGGACAAAATCTTTGGCATTTGAAAATTGACCTCTACAAATATGTTTTATAAAAATATTTTTTTTCTTTTGTGGTTTTTAGCCTTGAATGTGGAAAGTTAGGAAACCACAACATTTTTTCCTTAAAAGTAGTTTCCCACACAAACAAAATAATAGCTTCTAAGAAAAGTTAGAAGCTTTCTAATAATTTATAATTCAAACCAATATTTTTTTGGGATTTTCCCACACTCTATCTATCACTGGAACTGTATATGTACAAACTAAACCATAATGTCATCAGAGTAATTATGTTTCCTGAGAATTCAGTAACGTTAACAATAGTAACAGCTAACATTTAAATAGAACTTGTGGTTTACAAAGAACTTTCACATACATTATCTCATTGGAGTCTTTGAGCAACACTATAAGATGCTTATCTATGACCCATGTTTTCATGATGCAACTGAAGATTAGAGAAGTCCAATGAGCAGGCCCAAGTCACACAGTGACTTGAAGGGAGAAAACTGGGTTATCTGAACCTACATCATTAATTCTTCAATAAGAAAGCCTTCCTTAAAATAAACTTCTTATTGTGTTGGTAGTACCACCAAAGTAAAAGAATATTGCTAACCTTTCTCATGGGTTGCTAAACTGGATCTTGTGGGCCAAATCCAGCTTTTCAGCCTAAATTTTTGTAGTAGAGTCTTCCAGTGAAGAATGCTTTTGTAATGCTTCCAATGTTTGTAAAAAACAAACAAAAAGCAAGAAAGCAACAGAAAACCAAACACCGCATGTTCTCACTCACAGGTGGGAGTTGAACAACGAGAACACATGGACACAGGGAGGGGAATATCACACACCGGGGCCTGTCAGGGGGTGGGAGGGCACTGGGGGAGGGATAGCATTAGGAAAAATACCTAATGTAGACGATGGGTTAATGGGTGCAGAAAACCATTAACATGTATACCTATGTAACAAACCTGCACGTTCTGCATATGTATCTCAGAACTTAAAATATTTAAAAAAAAAAAAAAAAAGCAAGCAAGCAAACAAAGAAGAATATGCAATTGACATGTAGGTGACACACAAAGTATTTTATACTTACAATTTGGTCCTCTACAGGCAAGTTTTGCTGAACCCTGTTTACAGCAGTGTAGGTATTGGGCACGGCAGGAGACTTTGCTGGCAAATGCTCCCTCAGGCTGAAGGTTTTAGGGGGAGGGTTGTCTAGGCTGTTTTCAGTGCACTCCTGAAAATGGTATACATAGCAGAAAGAAGCACCTCACAGAAAGTCTCTAGGAAATGACCTATGTAGTTTCTGAAGCTAGGGAGCTGAACCTGAGCAGAAAAGGGTCATGGGTTTGAATCCTGGCTTCCACTGGGCAGCTTCTGCGGCAGGGTCAGGTTTGCTGTGCATTTAGTGTTGTACACTTGATATTGGGCATCCTTCAGCATTGTGCGTAGGAGAACAATTATGGAGCCTCTCTGTATTTCAAAATTCTCCAAGAATGATCTGAAATATTTGGTGTAGAGCCCTATATCAAAGTAGTCTAAGGAATATTTTTCAATAGTGAGCACAAAACCAAGTAGGTTTTCCCCATTCTCACTTTCTCATTCACTGCAGTCATGTGAGAGGAGGTAAAGAACATTAGGGAGTTGAATAGGTTTCCTTCCACTTGACATATGGCTTTAGTCTCTTATATTTACCATTTACAAGATGTAATGTAGGATGATGCTTGCTAAAGATGGTATTTTAACAGTCTTTTACTCTGTAAAGATGTTGTGTCAAGTGCTGGGACCATGACGATGAATGAGACACTCTACCTGTCCTCTAGGATTTCAGGGACTGAAGAGGGAGGTTAACATGTAAATAATTGCATAAACACATTATAGTAAGTATTAAAGGGAAATGTAATGGAAGGATATGCGTGTATTTTTGGCATTGAGTATGTCTGTGTCTTGACAGCATGTAGCTCTTTTATTGCTAGCGTGAATATTAGAGGTAGCTCTTTATCGATGACTGATCAGTAGAGGTCAACTAAATTCTACAAATTATATTTATCAGGGACAAAATATCTACCAGGCAAGCTTCTTCTCTTCCAGTTAAGAAGTTCTACAAATAAATGGCAAGAGGCACCAACACCAAAAACCATGTAAACCTCCAATTAGATGTTGAACTAGGAATCCCATCACTGACTAGTGACAACTCAGACAGGTACAACCAGAAATTACATCTGTTTGCTGTGTCTGCCTGAGAAAGTTACAAGGAACCCAGTGACAGTCCAGCTTCAGCAATCAAAGCAGCTATGGGAAAGTGGGTGTAATAATTCTTGCAGGGAAGTCCCTGGGGCACTGCTACGTGGATAGGTATTGCTACATGACAGCTACTTGGGGTGGCTCTGTCCTCAGCATTTTGAATCACATGCAAATGTGACCTTCATTTGCTGCCATCACGAACTGCCTCTGCTTTTTTCACATGCCAGTGTTCCCTACCCACTTTCAGATGTCACAGCTTCTACTTTACCCTGGAGTAAAATAAGCTTCCACACCAAAAACAAGTCTCCCTGCTGGCAACATATTTCCCTCTATACTCCAGATTCCAAAAGGAGAGTTTGCTACACTGGTCTCCAATCCCTGGGTATTGCTGCCTGGAGCTCACAGAATTACTCTCTTATGCTTTGGAGTTACTATGGCTATCAGGACAGTTTGAGTTGTCCCAAGCTTCCGGATGAATTATGAGAAATTGGCAGTGGGAGAAGTGGTATCAAAACTAGAGAAAGCAAGAAGTGTTGATGCCAGGCCAAATTCAAAAGGAAATAGTCATTCTCCTTTTGGGCCCATGAAAACTTAGGCTCATGCAAAGCATTCAGGGGAAGCCTTCTTTGATTGCATCACCCAACAGGTATTTACTGGGTGCTTATCTTTGGTCATTGCAGCATATACCCACTAAGAATACCCTCCCCTGCAGAAAGACTACCTGGAGCTAAATCAGCTAGAAAAGTAAGACGCATCTGTTTCAAAGGCAAAAGCAAAATTGATCTAAAACACTTCAGAATTTTCATGTTTATAGGAAGAAATGCAAATAGGTTCTAGTTCCAGTTTGTGAGGGAGCTTATCCCATGCTGTGCTGCAAACAGCATGTACTGTGGGGAGATACAGTGATGGCTGTTGACAGATGGACCATGGCTTTAGGTGTAGGGACATCTGGAATGGAATGTTCTTTGAAGTAGGAGAGATTCAGAGGTACCAAGTGAAAAAAACATCTCCTTTACTTTTAGATTGTATCCGACTCCAGTCAATGTATTCCAATTCATTTTTATGGCTGGTTGTTAATGGAAGGCTGGGCTTACATTACATGCATTCGGGGTGAGTCTGGAGAAGGGAAGAACTGATCGCCAAAAACCATTGAGGAAAGCAGGCTGTATTCTGCATTTCTTCGGACTTATCTTTGTGGAGTTCGATTGGAACCATGGATGCCTTTCCTGGGGCTTTCAAATTCCTTGTTTCTGAGACATTCCACAGTTACCTAAAAGCAGAGGGATCTGAAGGTTAATCCAAAGAAGACAAGCTCCTCCATTGTCACCTTGTGTGAATTTGGGCAATATACTCCACAACTCTTCATCTTTGCAGGCACAGATGACACCATATTTCTTTATTTTTTTCGGTTAGCACTTGCTTAAGCCCCTACCTGCCAGTCTTTATTCTCTAATCCAAATCTTCCCAAACCCAAGCTTTAGAAATGGACATTGATGTCCATTTAATGTCCTCACACTGTGCCCACTCAATGGAGAGTAGTGGATGAAAGCACAGACTCTAATCAGAGTTCCTGGGATTGAGTGCTGACTCCACTATTTACTACCTATCTGAACTTGGACAAGTTTCTTAATGTCTCTGTGCCTCATTTTTCTCAGTGATGAGGTATAGATAATAAGAATAGGTCTTCATGATGATTAAATTAGTTTGTATACATGTCTTAGTCTGCTCTGGCTTCTATGACAAAATACTACAGACTGGATGGCTTAAACAACATACATTTGTTTCTTATAGTTCTGGAGGCTAGGAAGTCCAAGATCAGGGTACCAGCAGATTCATTCCTGTTAAGGACCTTCTTTCTGGCTTGCAGACATCTTGCTTCTTACTATGTTCTCACATAGCAAAAAGAAAGAGAGAACTACTGTCTGATTAGTGTCTGATAAGGACACTAATCCCACACAAGGGGCTCTGACCTCATCTACATCTAATTATCTCCCAAGGGCCCCATCTTTTAATAGCATCACATTGGAGGTTAGAATTTCAACATGCGAATTTGGTGGGAGGACACAAACATTCAGTCCCTGAAAACATGTAAATTGATTAGATTAGTGTTTGCATAGAAAAATGTTCAATAAATAGTGGTTCTTATTGTTTCCACCCCTCTTATTTCTCCCAGCCACACAGTGTCATGATGTCACTGTTGAGGGTCTGTGCTCTGCAGTCAGAAGCTGCCGACCTCTCTGTAGTGAGAGCTTATTGGTCCATCCCTGTGGTGGGAAGCCTCCAAGAAAACCTACAAGGATTTCTGCCTCTTAGCATTCATCCCCTTGTGTAGTTCCCTTTTCTTTAGTGTGGGATGGATGTAGTGACTCATTTCTAATAACTGGAATATGGTGAGTGATAGCATGACACTTCTGAGATTAGGTTACAAAAAGATAGTGACTTCCATGCTGCTGTGCCGTGGCAAGGCCCACGAAGCAAGGTTCTAAGTGAGTCCTTCAGTCAACAGTCAACAAGGAATCGAGGCCTACTGAGATCCATGTGAATGAGCTTTGGAATACAGCTTCCTACCCCTCAATGGCACTTTAAGATGAGACCACAGCCCCAGCTGACATCTTGACTGCAACATCAGAGACTTTCAGCCAAGGGTACCCAGCTGACCCACAAATACCAACAGATAAAAAATGTCTCCAGACATTAATTTTGGGGGTAATTTGCTAACCAGCAATAAATCACTAATATATATGTTGTCAAGGCTGTCTAAGAGCAGATGAGTGCCAAACTCAGCCAGAATGCTCCTACATGAACTTTTTTCAAGTTGATGCTCTCATGTTCAGTTACTTTCCAACAATACAAACAACGTAACGGGGTTTGGTCTGGAGGAGCTCCCAGTATCAGCATCATTGAATAAACCAATCCTTTTCTATGAAACCTCAGGTCTTTATCTTGAATACTACTCTTCAGCTTGACTCCCACTTTTCTCAATGCAATTTATTTTAGGGACTTCAATGTACCTCCCTGTCTTTAGGTCTTGGTTGAACGGACCTTGATTTAACAAATCAGGACAACCTAAGTTCAGTTATTGAGAAATTCTGAGTGGTTTTAGTTATTTCCCTCCCACAAGGCCCAGTAATTTCGAGGATTGGCAACCAAAACTTAGTCACAAAACATTTTCTTATACTGAAATTCCAGCGCTTAGAAGAGCTACTCAGGTCTATAATAGTTCAAAAGACAGTGAAGTCCAACTTCTATTAACAAAAATAAAACCCATCCCACACAAACACACAATATATTGTACCTAATACATGTGAGGGGAAATGCTCCTCTTTAGTGGGAAATAAGGAAGAGTATTAAGAAAAGGCACAGCTGCTTTGGCCACATGACCACAGTTCAGATCATGTGAGGTCCCCATGTGTGTGGTTGTGAGAACCACTGCTTTGTGGAAGTCTAGAGGAATTGTTGAAGGGACTCTGTTGCTGTTGTTGTTTTGAACCAATCTGACAATCTTCAGCACCAGTCTGACAATCTTCAGCTTTGAGCTGAAATATTTTGTACATTTATGTTTAATGTAATTACTAGTGTAGATTTAAATTTCTTATCTTAGCATGTGCTTTCCATTTGCCCTACAGGTACTGTTTGTTTTTTGATTTTGCTTCTTTAAAATTTATTGAGAATTTTTTATTCCACTTATTTCCTCTATTAGTTTGGAATTTATGCACTGTTTTACTATCATTTTAGTAGTTACTTTAAAAATTCAGCATATATACTTGACCTATCAAAGTTTCTGATAATTGATCCTTTTACTCTCCTCTGAAACAACAAAAGGACCCTAGAACATTTTGTCTTCCTTTAATCCTCTCTTTGATTTTATGTTATTATTGTCATTTACTTCAGCTGCATACATAATATCCAAATTAGACATTGTTATTATTATTGTGATACTTTCAATGCTTATTCAGGTTTATCCTTTTATCTATCCCTTTTGTAATTTTTCTCTTCTTTCTATATCTCCAACCTTTATTTGAGATTACTTTATTTCTGCCTAAAGAATATCCTTCAGATTTCTTTTAGTATGGGTTTGCTGGGAGCAAATACTCTCATTTTTGTGTATCTGAAAATGTTTTTAGTTCATCTTCATCCTCAAAGGATATTTTCAGTTGAGTATCAAATTTTACATTGAGAGTAATTTTGTTTGAGTATTTTGAAGGTCATATTCTGCTGTGTCCTAATTTCTGATATTGCTGCTGAGAGGTAGGCTTTAGTCTGTCACTCCTTTGAACATAATCTGTCCTTTTACCTGTGACTGCTTTTAAGATTTTCTCTTAAGTTTATCTTAAGTTTTCTGCAATTATGCATTATGCACTATGATATACCTAGGTGTGAATTTCTCTTTTATTTATCCTACTTGGGATTTACTGGACTTCTTAAATCTATAGATTGATATCTTTTATTGGTTTTGAAAAATTATCAGGCATTATCTCTTCAATTATTGTCTGTATTATTTTCTCTTTTAACTTCTGGGATTTTAATCAACTATATGTTAGATCTTGCTACTGAATTTCCCACATCTTTTCTCTCTTCTTTGTTTTGTCACTCTATGCTTTTTTCTTGATAAAATTTTCTGACCTATGTGCTAGTTTACTAATTTTCTCTTCAGCTGTGTTTTCTCTGCTATTAAATATATTAACATAAATGAGTAAATTTCTAGGATAACCACAAAACCCATAGTAAAACAGTGTGTACATTTTAAACTAATTAAATCTTAATTTTTATTTATTTTTTTTTAGTTCTAGAATTTTCAGGGGGAGGGGGTGGCAGTTATTTTCAACTGTAAACTGTTATTTTATGTTGGAATACAAGAGGCAATGGGACAGTTGTTTGGAAGGTTTAGGACTAGGAAAAGTCTGGGAGATGGGAGGGAGTTTGGAAACTGTTATAGTTCTGACAATAGCAGGAAAGGGCAGGAAGGTGAGGTTTACATCCACCACTGCAGAGAGCAGAGCAGGATGCAGGAGCACTGTGGAGGGACTCCAAGTCTGGAGTGATTTACTCTTTCCTATATTCCCTGCTACCTGTTGGGCCTCACAGGTCTGGGACAGGCACTAAATAGAACTAAGAGTAGCAAAAATCCCACAGCTGAAATTAATTCCTAATCTCTAAGTAAGACAAGGAAGCTAAAATTCTTTGCCAGAAGACAACATAGACTGATGAAAGTTTTGTGGTAAAGCAAAATCATAATAAATAAAAGTAATATTTTAATGTTACTCTTTCTCTCTGCATTCAGTATTTTGTATAATCCTTCAACTGTTCTACCTTCAGCACCTCTCACTATAAAAATATAATAGGGAGATGGAGGCCAATGACTACCAAGTTTCAATTTTGCAGGATAAATAAGCCTAGACCTCTAATGTACAGCGATGACTAGAGTTTATAATATTTTATTGTACACTGGAAATGTGCACAGTTACCACACAAAAAAATATAACTATGTGAAATGATAGTTATGTTAATTTGCTTGAATGTAGTAATCATTTCAGTATGTATATGTGTATCAAAACATCATGTTGCTCAATAAATATATAGGATAAATGAATAAAAAATACAATAGAAGCATCTTCCTGGAATTAAATTTTAAAAAAGAAGAAAGGAAGATTATATTTAAACCTAGAATGATAAATGAGAATTAAATACACAACTTTTAAGTTTTCTTTATCAATATGAACTGTGTAACCAATTTTGTTTTTGCAATTTTAGGCACTTTGTAATTTTATAACCTGCCTAAATGTTTGCAGGGCCTTCCTGCTGAGAAAACAACAGGCATTTAATCCATGTGATTTCTTTCTCCTGTTCACTGCTAACACATTTCAAAAATTCATATCCTAAAAAAAATCATTACATTAAAGAAATGCAAATATGGCTCAATTAATATATCTTCCAGGACCAAAGCATTTTTGGAGGTATTTGCTTTGTTAAAAATGACAATGAACCTTCTTTTTAATCTGGTAGAACCCAAGAGGTCAAAGGTGAAAGCAGTTCCAGTGTTGGAAGGATGTGGAGACTGTATTGGTTTTTTCATTGCCAAATTGAGAGTGGGAGCAGTATCGGAGGTGGGATTGGCATAAGGGTGAGCGACTGAAGCTCCTGTCAGTCCATAGTGGTGGCAGGGACAATTGTAGTGATGGTGTCCAAGGCCCAACAGATGGCCCAGAGGAGGTGGAGTTGGTGGCTCTGGAGTGGTAGCTGTATTGACTTAGCTGCAGACCATCTGTGGGC